CATGGACCCATAGTAAGTCCTGCACTGAGGGGGCTGGCCCCTCCCAGACCCAGTCCCCACCCCTTCCCCTGCCCCTCCCCCACACAGCACACAGACAGGTGGCCATAGGTCAGAACTTCATTGAGCAGGCTGTGTCCCCTGTATGGGCAGGCACAGGCCTCTCCTGCTGAGGAATGTGTTGATCCCAGTGGTGCTCTCCTCTTTGGTGGCCAGGGGCAGGGATGTGTAGCACTGTGATAGGTAGCCCTCCAGGTGGTAGCAGACATTGTGGAGTGGGCTGGGCTTGTCCCCCACTCTGTCATAGCTCAGAGTCCCAATCCAGGAGCACAGGTGTGCCTGAAGCATCAGCAGGATCAGCAGCAGCAGAGCATAGTGGTTGGAGCAGCCCTTCACCTGCACAAACAGCCTGTCATGCACCACCTGCACCACATGCAGCAGGAGCACCCTCAGGGCACAGAGGCAGTGTGGCAGGGGGGCAGCCCTTTGGTGTCTCCCTGGAGAAGCCCCTGCAGAAAGGGTGGGGGTGTGGCCAGCCCCTCACTCCCATTGTCTAGGAGCTCCACACACCCTAAGCCCAGGCACCGGGGACTGGGTGGCAGCGAAACACAGTGGTGGACCTGCAGGGGAAGAAGTGGGGCTGGTGGGGGCTGGGGCTGAGGCAGTAGGTGCTGCCAGCACCCTGGCCTTGCCTACCCTGGGAATGGGACAGGGGAGGCAGGGAGCCTGTGGCTAGCCCCTGAGGAGCAAGCAGACACAGGGGACCTGAGCAGCATGCACCTGGGCCCAGGACTGCCTGGACAGCTTACCATGGACCCTGGATACCCGCATGCTGCTGCCCTCCAATCCGAGGACAGGCATCACAGGGCCCTTGAGCATAGCATCATATCTCTCAAATGTTGCAAACTCTCACAAAAGTCTCTTGCCTTTGCAGGGCCAACATCTAGATGCAGGGGAGAAGTTGCAGGATCACTGCTGCAGAGTCACTGCTACCCGCCACTGGAGCCTCCAGGAGATGCCAGCAACACTACCACCATGTCCTTGACGGGACCCACCTACTCTGGCAGCTGGTGGCCATGCAGGGTGGGGTGGCAGACCAGTGGACATGGCAGGCAGAGACCCTTGCCGAGGAGGAGGTGCAGCTTCAGGCATATGCAGAGCACGGGGTTCAGCTGATGGCCCTGGAGCAGTGGCGTGTGGCACTGCTGAAGCAGCAGCTTGCTGCCCAGAGCCACACAGCAAAGGCTGCGCCCATGCCCCTTGACACCTGGCCCCTGCCCTAGCCCTACAGGGCCCCTGGGTCCCGTCTGCAACCTCACACCAGGGCCCCAGCAGCACCTGCCAGCTGAGGCATCCTGGGCTCCACTGCAGCCCCAGGACCACAGTGGCACTTCTTGTGGTCAAGGTACTTCCTGACTGCAGCTGAGCTCTCCACCCTGGGTGGCCTCACCCCTGAGTCCCTCACAGGTGGACTCGGGGATGGGGGCAGACACCTGAAGTTTCTTTGCAGTTTGGGGAACGGATGGGGAGGGTGGTGGAGGGGCACTGTGTGTGGGGGGCAGGGGGGAAGAGGAACTGTGTTTGTTGAGGGGGAGGGGGGAGAGATGGGGGTGTTTTGTTCTATTAATAAAGTTTATACTGTTTCTTCTATGTGTGTAGAGTGGTGCTGGGGGTGACCAGGGGGTCAGGAGCGTGTGGGCTGAAGCAGGGAGTGCAGAATGAGGGGGGTGGCCAGAACCTCCTGCAGCAGTGCCCTGGGCCTGGCTGGCAGGTGTACGGCTGCCCTGGAGCCTGGGTGGGGGTGGGCATGGTATGACCAACAGGGCCAGCACCATGGCCAGCAGCAGCATGGGCTGGTAGTTGCCAGGGGCAGGGGCAGGGGTGGTGCGAGGAGGGAGATACCACATGCTAGGCCTGTGCTGGGCACATAACTCCTGGGCAGGGGAGGGGTTGGGCAGGGCTGTGCTGTGCTGTGTGGGCAGAGATAAGCCCTTAAGATGGCTGTCATGTGCTGGCAGGTGCCTCTAGCCTTAGCATAGCTGCCAAGTGCTGGCAGCCATGTGGATGGAGGCTGGAGTTCTCCTCAGTGGCCACAGGGACACATGGCAGGCTGCTCTGACTTGGGACTAACTCTAGTCCCAGGTTGCCTGCACATGTAGATGCCAACCTATTCCAGTTTACTGCACAATATACTGCAACTTACTGTGCAGTAAATTTAATGTGATGTAAATGCACGCATAGATGCACCAACTCTGTTGTATCCACCTATTGTCTCCCATCTTATACCTAAATAGTAAGATATTCAGAATAGGAACAGTTTCTTTGCTATGTATTTGTACTATGCTTAGTACAATAGGACCTGGATTCATGATGAATCCTTAGACTTCCCCCTTTTTTAATTTCTTCCCTATCCTCCAGTCCTTGGTGTGCTTTATAAAGTGTATGTGTACTGTTTCTATAAAACTGAACAGGAAGCCTGGTTTGGGAGATAATAGGCAAAAGTCCTACACTGCGTAGGGAGAGGCTGTGTGTCTTTAGGGATATTTTGCCCAAACGAGTACAATCCTTTGTTAAGTATTAGAGGAGACACTCTTCCTGTGACTACTTACCATTGTTACATGACATACAACTTCCCCAAACACTCATTCTAACCTACCTGGGCTCCTGTGGGGGCAACAGCCTTCCCCCATCCTTTTACTCGGCACTCTGGATTTTGAACTCTCAGTATTGCCAGTTCTCATGATCTTATCACAAATCTCACAGTATGCGGTAATTTTCTTAAATCCCCTCCTCCTGGAGTTGATTATATGAGAATCTCAATTTCTTTCCTTCTTTTTAAAAGCAAGTTTCTATCCTTCATGTTTGTGGAGAAAAACACAGAAACATGGCCTCAGCATACCACGAAGTCTCAGAAAACAAGCAGCAAAGAAAAAGAAACTATTTTTCAATAGTTAATCTCCCTTTTTAAGCCCAACTCATGATTCGGGGTGGCTTGACTCATTCTGGCAATGCTGCTATTCTTTCACTCTCTCTCTCATGTCTCCTGCTGAGGATTACTGGCAGCTCTTAACCTATACCAGTGAGACAACAGGCAGCTCTTGACAGGACCCTCAACTTGCAGACCTTTCCAAGAGTCACTGGACTTCAAAGCAATACAATCAGATGAAAAAACTCTTATGAACAGTGCTTGCTCCATTCATAATTTCAAATTTCTCCAGGTCAACTCAACTTTTTATTTGGCAGTAAGTTTCATATGCAGTCTGTTGGTTTTTGCCTTAAACGAATATGTATCTATTTGAATCTCATGTTTTTTGGAGGGAGGGTGGGGTTCCCTTTACCAAAGATCAATCACTTGGAACCTAGTTGGTGTCTTCTTTCATTTTCCTATCTGGGAGCTGAAGGAAGTTGCTTGATGAAGCCAAGGAAATGTTAAAAACAGGCAAAACATTTAAGAAAAGATAAAAACGCTTTTTCTAAGAGGACATTTTATGTATGCGCACATGTAGGTCTAGAAGAATCTGACTGGACCAGAAGTACCATATTGCTTTCTGTGCTTTCCTGTCCTGTGGGTTTTCAGGGATTTCTATGCCACAGGAACCTGTCCTGCACTTTGCTGAATCAGACCTTAAGCTGCCAAAGATATATATCCCTATTAAATACATGGCTTTTGCCAGGGTTATGGCAGCAATTAGAAGTACTTAGTGCACGGTTCTGGCTGTCAAGATTTTATCAACATTTCCTTAGGAAACCCTTACTTTCAAAGAATTATAGAACTGTCCATATAAAATTGATCATCACTGACATTTGTCATCCAGTAACATACCTCAAAATAAAGTTTCCTTTTTTTTTCTTTTTTTTTGCTTCTCCTTTCACATTCTTTCTATTTGCAAATTCAAGCAAGAACAAGTTTATTACTTTAGAATACAGTTATAGTTAGCTAGGCACTTAGTTCTGCTATTGCATGTGCCAAGAGGTGGCACCATCTTGGCTGAGCTGACAGCTGAGCACTGACCTGTTAAAAAAAAAATTTTAAGTTAAAAAGAGTAATATATATTTGGTTTAAGACTACTTAAAATGATAAATTATCTTGGACATTTTCTTATAATATAAATTCCTATGGGTTTTGTTTGTGTTTTTGGTTTTTTTACAGTCAAAACTGATGAATACTTTCATTCAGAAAAGTGACTAATGAAAAAATCAATTTGTATTTTTTTTAAATGCTCAGTATTTTTTTAATTCTGCATATCTCTTACCATGACGGGACACAAGCCAGAACAATCCCTTTCAAAATATATGCTGATACCTCATTGTCTAAGAAACTCTATGAGGGTATTGAGGCCTCCATAAATACAATATGTGCTGGCATGTTTTGTGTAGTGATTTTTTGAAGGAATCCTAACTGTGTATTTATGGTCATGGAATGAATGATGGATTTATAAATGCACAATGACACAATCAGCTACATTATTATGGGAGATAGGTTGATAATCTGTGAATTACAGCTATTATAGCGTGTCATTTCAGTGATTTGCCAGACATTATTATAGTATCAGTGAACTCTGAGAAACTGAAACGAGGCGAGAGCTATTGCTGAATGTGCTGCTATAAGGCCGTGCTTTCCTAAATACACAGAACGGCTGTGTTTCCTTTCTTTGTCTAGCTCCCCTGAGCATGGCTCAGTAAAGAAAAAAGATTTTAGCCTTATGATTATTTCAGATTCTACTTGAAGCCACTGTTAATTTGGTATGTTTGAACACCAACCAGTGAGCTATATTTACGTGCCTGAGATCAACAAAGCAAGAGAAGCTGCTAAAATGTGGTGTTTTGACCTAAAGACCATGTTCCTCATCATGAGAAGGGTCAAACTTTGCCCTTGAATACACACAAAACATTCCCATTGAAGCCACTTGTATACCCTAAAGCAAAATTTGGTTTTACATAGCCCACTCAAGCACACGCAGAAGTCTTTGGTACATGAAATAAACAAACCCCAAAAAATCAGCTATGAAAAAAACAGGCATTTTATTTATTTTTTTACAAAAATAAACAATTCAAGGAACAAAAAGTACAAAATGTTCTTAATGTACAATCTACAAAACAGTATGACATCGGTCACTTTTAGCATTTAGTTTATTGCTTTCACTGAAAGCAAATTCTTTAGACACACTATGCCTACAAAATGCATTTATTTATATAGAGTTAAGGCTGGTGTTCATTTGCAATTATTAAGGGCATTTATTTAATTTGTTCTAAGAATTAGCAAGCAGCACCTTAGATGACAAATAATTTGATGATTAAAACAATGAATGGCCTTCTGTAGCAAGCTATTAATTTAAAAAATGGTATTGTTCAAACAGATGGACTGCTTAGCTGATCTGTTAGTGATACATCTTAAAAAATACTTAGGACAGTAAATAAGGCCTTGATTCAGCAAACCACTTAAGCTTATGTTTAATTTTAAACACATGCTTAAGCCTATCCCTATTCACCAAAGCACTTTTAAGCATCTGTGTAAAACCCTACAAGATTTTGATGGGACTACTTGTGTGTTTAAAGTTAAGCCTTTTTTAAATGTTTTTTCTGGATCAAGGCTTAGGCAACTAAGTATGGCTTTCTTAAGATGAAAGTTTATGAAACATTTAAAACAAAATGAAAGTTTGCCACATCTTTGCAACTATAAATATCAATAAGATTAATTGATGAAGGAGCCTAGCATTCCTACAAATATTTTTGGTCTTGCATGTTTGATAACATTAAACACAAATGGTGATTGTCTCTTATAACATTTGATATTTAGCTTTCAAACTGATAAGCTTGTGATAAAAAGTGATTGTACTTGCCCAAATAAATATTTTGGCAGTGGATCCAGATTTCTCATAAAAATTTTGAAATTCCCACCCTGTGCAAACATGCACACACAGTTAACCTGAATTAAAAGCTAGAGCTGCCAACTGAACATCGTATCCTGACAGTGTAATACATTTTGTATTTTGCTTCATTTGAAATAAAAAAAATCACATTTTCAAAATGTTGTTCTATTGCACATTCATCCTGGTCATGCAGGTCATCTCTTCAAAGTTTTGTTTAGCACTCTATAGATTAGAATGAGTAATAGTGCAATTATCTCGCTGTCCTCAGACATCTTGTACATAACAGCTGTCTATATTTATACACAAACAGCTCCTGTCATTTACTAGTTAGACTGAACCACTTTAGCTGTCAGCCTGTCACTTTCACATATGTTATCTTGTCAGGATCAGGCATGATATGATTTGAGTCCTTCTTGAAGAAGACAAGCTGCCGACCTACAAAGATTGTGACGGAAAGAAGAAAATAATTAGAAACGATGAGTGAGATCTTGCTCTATTCAAAATACTGACATTTCATATGCCTATTCTTTTCTTGCATTCTTTAAACTACACAGAAAACCAAATTCTTTGTTCACTTAAAAACTGCTATTAATCTGGAGTCTTTCCATTGAAGCTGCACCAGAACTTCATTTCAAAGTTTATTCTGGATTCACGTTGGGACAATGGAAAACAGAACTTGGCCAATTAAAGCTGTTCCAAGTGCATGCCAGCATAATTCTGATCAGGATTTGTCTCTATGAAGTTGACAAGCTATAAATGAGAGCATTTGTCGATTTTAAGACCTTTTAAAATACAGTGATTGAATTCAGTAGTTGGAGGAGCCTCTCTAGCTCTTGCCATTGACTTCATTGTCTTTGGATCAGGGCATCCATTCATTCATAAAAGAACAATATCTTGTTGGACTACCAGAATCTATGCAGCATACGTACACTGCATTTATCAAGTTTGGCCTTGTTTGAATGACAAATATACAGCAAAAACCTGCTGTGCTTTGTCAGCAGGAGGCTAACTCCTACCTGCAAACCAGCATAATAAAAAATGTTAAATGGAGGGCAGCCTGTACAGTCTCAATTCTATAATTAGCCACTTCATAAGTCAGAGTTCATCTAAGGTTGTCCTTTGTTGGTGCTTGCTACTGCTCACGTCTCACTTACTGGTCTCATTGCGCTTGTTAAATGTGGACCCTGATTACATGCTGTGGCCATGGTCCCAGCACATTGTAATCACTGGTACCCACTGCAACTGATAAAAGAAAAGGCATGGCATGTATGCTATGGTCTCTTTTCTGCAGCTGTTCAACCTTCCCCTACCTTCTGCCTAAAGTTAAGAAAACTAAAAGACATTTCCACAACTCCTGCCTCTCATGTGCTAACGTAACAACATTGTCCTAAACATCACATGATTATCCGGATGCCAACAACTGTGTTTATGATTAATCAATAACTATACAGAATTCCTTGGAATAACACGATCATTTAAAGGTTTAAACTTGGTTAATTTTACTTTGAATTATTGTTACTCTGAATCATTTCCTTTAGCTTCTGTAATTCAAGCAGTGGGCCTTTCCAAGCTTTCTATTGATCTTATCAAGATATATTAAGTCTTTTTTTTTTTAAGTGGTATATTTAGTCCAGTGCCCGATTGTCATGTAATACATAGTATGGTGTGATCAACTAAAGCATGTGGGATCTTTAGGGCAAGGCATTTTGACAAACTTGTGCTTGGTATTTCCTTGGTTACTTGTGAGCCTCTGTTTATGTCTTTGGGTAGCACGAGAGATATGGAGTTCCACAGTTGTGTAACACAGTACTGTGATATAGATAACATTTTTAAAAATATCTATTTTGGGTGGCTCCAGAGCTTGGTACTCGAGCTGAGACAATGGGTCTCCTCAGCTCTGGTTCTGTCCCATATTGCTCAATCATCCTTCCCGTGTAAGATCTGACACTGCCTTAGCAATAAACAGTGTCACAACCAGTTAACACCAAGGAGCAAAAAAAGCACTTGGGTACCTAAACTAGGATCATAGGAAGGTAGGGCTGGAAGGGAGCTCATTAAGTCATCTAGTCCAGCACCCAGCTCAAGGCAGGATCATTCCTGACTAAACTATCCCAGCCAAGTGACTGTTTAACTTGATCTTGACAATTTCCAGGGATACAGATTTCCATGGACAACTGGTGCCTCCTGATTCTGGGGGGACACCAGCGGCCAATCGCTGACCTGGTGGGGGGTGTGGTCCCCCAGCAGCTGATCGCCAGCAGAACCAGATCGATGGCAAACCAGAAGTGCTGCTGGCGCATCTCTCAGCGCCCCCACATTCTTGGGGAGGGAGGAACCAGCTGTCACCCCCTGCTCCCTGGCCGGCAAGGGTCAATCTAAGGGGGGGCCCCCTCCGCATCACCTACGCAGATTGCACAACTTCTATAGGATGCCTGTTCTAATACTTGGCCACCCTCAGTCAGAAAGTTCTCCCTCTCATGCTTCCTCACACAGCAGCATTGCAGTCAGATCTGGCTGGTGTTAGGAGCCGAGCAATCCAACCCTAGTGTTCATGTTGGGGAAGAATGTGTTGTTAGAATTCTTCTGTTGAGTTCTGTGAAATTCAGCTCTTTTAAAACTGCTGGGTTTTTGGTTGTAGCCGTGTTGGTCCAAGGACATAGGGAGGTAAGGTTCTTTGAGCAGATGTGATATCTGTTACTAGACCAACTGAATAGTTGCAAAAAAGTTCTTAGCAAGCTTTCAGGCACAATCACTCTTCCTCAGGCATAGGAAGTCTCAGTCATAGTGAGACTCGTATGCCTAAAGAAAGATGACTGCACCCAAAAGCTTGCTAAGAACTTTTTTCCAACTACTCAGTTGGTCTAGTAAAAGATATCACATCTGCTCAAAGAACCTTGCCTGCTCTTTCAAAACTGTAATTTAGGTGGGATTAAGGGGCACTGACAGACATGGGGAAAAAACCACAAAAAAAAAAAACAAAAAACCCTCCAAGAAACCACAGCACTTTACCAAGAGAAGCAGCATCTTAGTTTGACCCAATTCTAAAATCTGTACAGATCAGGTACTTCAGCAGGGTTTTTTGGCATATTTACCTAAAGCAGATTCAATCAGCTTTAGAGAAAAGTACCAAAAAGCCCTGCTGAAGCACCTGATCTATACAGACTTTGGGTGAGCTGGATCCAAATAATGCAATGCCTCTTCTAGGCATGCACTGCATTTGGTGTGGGGGAACACCAAGCTTAAAGTGCCATTTGTTCCCCCCCACCCAGCATCTGTAAGCAGCGTAGGTGTCTAAGTTATGAAGCAGGCTTCTCCTGACTGCTCTGGTGACTTTCATCAGTAGTTATTTGGGCACCTATAGTTCTGCTGCTGCATGTGCCAAGAGGTGCTACCATCTTGCCTAAGCTGAGAGACTTGGTGACCATCTCAGCCCTAAGCGTATTTGGATTCACAAATTAAGCATTCCCCCACCTGAGTCTCCTACAGGGCCTGATCTAGTAAGCATACTTGGACTACACCTGAGACACACCAGCAGCAACAACTTTCAGGATGAAACACAGTAGTCACATCCACTTTGACTAGGGGCTTGGTGCATGCAAGGAGAAGAGGGTGGGCGAGTCATGCTCAGAAGCATTACTCTGAGAACATTAGGGACATGGTATAGAAATACTGTGTAAGCCCAGTGATAAGGGCATTCACCTGGGAGACAGGAGTCCAAAGTCCTAGTCCCTGCTCTCAGGACAGCTCATACATTTTACATGAAAAAGTCACTAACTAAAATGCAGGAAGCAGGAGTCCTCTCCCACAGGTGAATCTCTTCATCTCTGAGCTACATCCTGAACCACCTTGTGCTTCCTCACAGAGCATCATTGCAGTGAAATCTAGCAGCTGGGCAATCCAGCCTTAGTATATACATCAGGGGGGAACGTAGTGTTCCTTCTGTTGAGCTCTGTAGAACTCAGCTCTTTTAAACTATTTTGAAAATGCAGCTACTTTATCACAGCCACTTGTAACGGTTTAGTTTATCAGATTACCACATATTCCCTGGGGTCGCAAAAGGCATTAATCTGGTTTAGTAATAAAAAGCTTGGGCCAGATCTTTATCTGAGATAACCTGGCACTGATTGACAGATATCAGTAGACCTACACTGATTTACAGCAGCTAAGGATGGGGATCCCAATCTTTTATTTATATGTCCCGGCAATATTCTGTTAGACACGAGATTAACAATAAAACATGCCAATAAACATTCTCACAGTTTGTGCTGAGATTTTCTTCTAAAAAGGTCTTCTGTGTCCCTGAATAACACTGAGGACCAGGGATCCAAGTTTTCCATTCGCCATGGGAAAACACAGTAAAACCCAGATTTTCTCCTTTAAAGGAGAAAAACATGGGAAATAGTGGGTTTCCCCTTGCAGGCTGGCAGAGTTCCAGGCTGCAAGGGGCTGGGGGAGTGGAAGGAAGGCGGTCAGGCAGGGGGTGCCATGTGCATGTGTATTCGTACATGTGCACATAGCCACCAGGCAGCCTGGAGAGCAGCTCCCCGCAGGTAAGTCTGGTGGCAGAGGTTGGAGGGGGGGTGGGGAGGGCGGAAATTGAGGCCCCCACAGGGAGGAACGGAGGGAGTTCGGCAGGGCTGAGGCTGCGGGTGCTGCCCAGCCCAGGTGGTGTGTGGTGTTTGGGACTGGAATGCGCAGCTGCAGGGCCTAGGTGGGGAGTGGGATGGAGCGGAGCATGGCTTGCCCTGGGAATGGGAGCTGGCTCCTCGCTGCTGCATGCACTCCTGGTAGGGACATGGAGACACATGCCCCCCAGATTTGTGCATGGGGCAGGGGGAGGTATGGGATGCCCTCTGCGGGCTCAAGCTCCCTGCCCAGCTGCCCTCCCCCCAGGGCCTCCGTGGCCCCGTGGGGAGGACCTGGCACAGCAAAGCAGAGAGGGGCAGGGAAGCTACTGCTGTGGGCCCCATGCTGCCATAATGAGGCACTCTCTCCCCACCCCCCCAGCAGTAGCAAGGGGCACAACTCTGCACTGTCATCCCCACTGCTGCTGGGTGGGCAGGGGGCATCTCACCGTGGCAGTGCAGGAATCACAGTGGTGCCACCAAGCTTCCCTGCCCAGTCCCACTCTACCTTGCCATGCTGGGTCTCACCTGCTGGGCTGTGATGGCCCTGGGGGGGAGGGCAGCCAGGTGGGGAGCCCCAAGCTCACAGCGGGCAGCTTGTATCTGTCCCCTCCTCCCACCATGGGCTGCACGCCACCTGTGCCACCCATGGGAGAGAGAAAGCCATGCTCCGTGCTCCACTCCACCACAGCAACCACCACCTCCCGCGGGTGGCAGCCAGGGCTTGGGCACTGCTGAGACTGGCAGGGGGCTGTGGACCTGGGTCCCTGGCCCCATAGCTCTGACAGGGCTGCAGGGATAGGGGGTTGTGGGTCGGAAGTGGGGGGCACCAGCAGGGTTGGTGGAGGTGGCTGTGGGTTAGGAGCAAAGAGCAATGGCATGGGCAGGGCACTGGCATATCAAGGCTGCTCGGCTCCACAAAGCAGTGGGTAAGGACAACTGCAGCTGGACCCATATCCTGGAGAGCAAAAGAGGGCAGAGCTCTGGTGTTCCATGATAAAAACCCTAAAAATCAAACACCAAAATTTATAGGTATTTAGAGTTTATTTTATTATATTATTTTATATCATTTTATTATATTATTTTATTATAGTGACTGAGGCACTAGTAGGCTTCCAAATTGTTTTAAAATTGTATATTAGTGGTGTTTCATTTTAATCATGGAAAAATGCTTATTTTGGGGGGTTTAATCAAAGCATTTGTAATTTTTTTTATCAGCAAATTTGTGATTTTTAAACAGAGAAAACCAGGATCCCTGCTGAGGATACTTCCACTTCTCTTATGTTTTAAACCATTCCTATGGTCCTCAGACTCATCCAGGGCCAGCATGTCCCCACCTGAGGACAGTACAGCACCCCCATCAGTGCTCACGACATATCTGTCAACTGAAGGACTGCAGTTTAGGGAAGGTGTGGGAGAACCTACTGAGCCAAATCCTGCTAATTTAACTATGCGAGTCAGATTGAACTCCCACAGCTGTTTTTGTTGTATTCAGTAGTAAAATTTGGGGACAAAATCTGACTATGAAGGTAACCTGCGATCCTTGCCCTGCTGCCCCCAATGGATCCCTACACAGCAGGATATTCTGAGGGTATGGATTTACCATGAGGCAAAAAAGAATGGGACTTTACTTCTCATGGTAAACTGCTTGTTTACACACTGTCACCTCATGGAAAGTGACAACTAAATCGTGATTAGCTTAATTCTCAGTGAAAGAAGGGTGATTTATTTTGGTTTACCTTTCATTTTTCACAAGTGCGCACACAGGCAGTTAGCACAGAACTGCCCCAGCCCTGGTCCCTAAGTCTGTGCATAGACTCCCCCTTCACAAAGCGCATGGGAAGGACAGCTCAGCCCAACCCCTGCTTGGCCTGAAGTGTGGCTTCTCCTATCTAGCTCCTATCCTTTCATGAACCTGTACCAGTGTAGCACATTCATTAGATTGGGGGCAAGCAATCATTTTGGCTTGAGGGCTGCTTAACAAGGTTTGGTGAGCTTACAAAAACCTCAAAGGTAGCCCCACACCTTGACAGGTACCCCGCCCCCTGGTCACCATCTTAGGACCAGAAGTCCCACCCCCTAAACACAGACCTTAGCCACCGGAAGTCCCTCCCATTGCCCCCCGAAAATACTCCATTTGGGAGGGGGGTTGCCATCTTAGAACCAGGAAAAAAAAACAAATCATACACTAGAAGTCAAATGCTGACTGTAGCATTTTAATTTTATTACAAAAAATATTTTTGTCATGATTTGTGTTTGTGTACTGCATATAGAAGGCATTGCATAATAACTCAGAAACAAAGTCTTAGTCTTGTACATTGTCTGGTGTGTGTGTGTATGTGTATGCATATGATGGTGCGTGTGTGTATATATGATAGGGTGTGGGAGGGGTGTGTGGGGGTATGGCTGTGTGTGTTGGGGAAGACAGGGTATACTGGGGGGTGTATATGTGTGGGGGTTGTAGGGGCAGGGTGTGCCTATGTGGCATTTGTGGGATGTGAGAAAGGGTGGGGGGCCCCTCGGCCCCCCTGGCATGCAGACCCCACAGGCAATGGCGGCAGCAGCAGCAGGCAGGAGCACTCGGGGCTCCAGCCAGCACTGCATATCACAATGAGGAGCACATGCAACTCCCACACTCGTGCGCCCCCATAGGAAAGCTCCATGTGCTGAAGCCAGCTGCTTTTGCCACTGGGCCATATTTGGCCTGTGGGCCTGTGGGCTGTATTTTACCCGCCCTTGCATTAGATTGTATTAAAAAGGTCTGTTACCTGTCCACGTTGTCTGATTAGTCAAGACGAAAGCTCTGCACTGGGAGTAACTCTCGCAGATCTCAATGGCTTCAGTGATGTCAAACACAGAGAGGAGGCAGCCCTTGTGATGGTAAGATGGCCAGCACCTGTAGTTCTCATCAGGAATAGTAGCATCAGGCACCCGTTTGTACTCTGCAATTATCCAGAGCAAAATGATCATTTGAAAGCTATAGTAAAGAGGTACAATTTTGATAGGCAGGTTGCATCAGGCAAGGACACCATTTAGAAGGGTCATTCAGTAAGCTGCATCAGCCTCATTTTGTTCCTGGCTTGATAAAATTGTTGCTTGCCCCTCACGCTGCTTTTATTTTTCATTTTGAGAAACAAGCCCAGAAATAAACAGTCTGTGCACAGAATGCTTCTGCCCTCCCTACTGTTGAGGCAAGGCTTTGATTTGATTTGGAGTTTTACAGGAAGAATGTTCCATTGAATAAACAGCATCCACTTGAATGAAATGACTCACTGTCCTCGTTCTTAACACTGAACAGGATTGTCAGGGTGAGACCTGATGAGGCGTTCCCGGCCCTCCCTCTCAGTTAGAAGAGCATGCTATTTTGCTCCAGCTTCTTTAGAACATGAAGAAAAGACAGGCTTTTAATTAAGCAAACTTTTTCTTCTTGCTCAGATTAGCACAAAAGGGGAGTTGCTTGATGGGCCTCAGAGAAAAAAAAAAGACATGAAGCATGTCAGTTTGGTTCTTGCCCATCTCCTCTGCATTGCCCTGTGGATTACTGCACAGCTCCCTTGGCTGCCATTCAGTCTCACTTGCCTTTATGAGCTCTTTCTTGTTCTCTGTTCACAGTTCCTCTCAGTTTCCAAGCTGTTTTTGGGCTTCTCTAATGAATGCATCAGCAAAATTAAACTAATAATTTACAAATATTTCTACTTAGCTCCCAGACACACAAATTGTCAGTCAAGAAAACCCCAAAAGACAAAACACTATAGCAATTCTAACTGCATGCATTAAGGAAACTGTAGCTACATGCTTCAAAACCTGTTCTTTAGATAGTTCAGTTTTGTCTGACGCTGCAAGGTTTCAACTTGCTAATGTTTCAGACACTGAGTTATCAGGATGCTTTTTATTTAATGGGTGTTTCCTCTTTCATGTTTAGTATATACATAACAACCAATGGTTTGATTCATAAAAGAGTTATCCATTGTCTAGCATACATTTTTCACCATTTACCTGAAAACTTACTTTTCTCATTTGTTTCATAATAACTGTCATAACACAAATCCACAAACAAAAAGCAAAGAAAAAATACAATCATTTTGTCATTGGCAGAACTCTCATTCATTTTCAGGACCAATTTTTGCTACGGCAAATGCAAAGAATCAAATTCATATCACAAATGCTCATTTTATTGCCAAGAGATGACACTGCTCCTTAAAAAGCTGCTACAGATTTGTTGGACAAATAACGTGCAGTCCATTTCCATACCTCCTTCATGCTATATTGTTATATCCTATATTAGAGATAGAATTATTTGGAAAGAACTAAAGAGCTACTGGATGGAGAGTGCTGAGGGTGGGCAAGCCTAAGGTCAGTGGGAGTATATGTGTAAGCAAGATGAACAAGGGGGCCAATTCACCGTTGCTGTTTAGTTCATGCACTCAGACATTTATACCCATGGAAATAAAACCCACAGTAGATATAGAAAGGGTTCATTCTGACTCAGCATTTTATTTTATTTATAATCCCCCTTGTACTGACCTGACTATGAAAGGTAGAAGGCAAAAATGAAATCAGACCCAATACTGCATAGAAATGAAAACTGTGCACTAAAGATGCTTGTTACCAATGGAAGAAAAAGAGCATCTACCATAGATGTTCTGAAGTGTGAGCACGGATTGAACCCTGAGCCCTTGAAGGAAATGTTTGCCAAGCTCCTGACTATGACATCTAAGGTCAGGCCTTAGCAGGCCTTGGCATTAAGTCAATTTTCAATAAGTCAGAGTACTTAGCAGAGCAGCCTCAACATCACATGATGTATTTTCACTATGCAGTACAAAATCTCTCTCAGAGTAACCTACCTATTAAGCTGCATTTTACTGTTAAAACTCTCCTGCAGGCAAATGTGTTTTTAAAACTATTCCCACTACATAGTACATTGTTTCATCTTTAACATCTTTTCCTCCATTGCAATCCTCAGCTGGCATACATTGACTTCAAAAGAACAATAGTGATTTATATGAGATGAGGATCTATCCCTTTACGAAAGGTAAATGTTTCAATATTTATGGATTTTCAATGAAACTCAGAGCAGGATTCAAAGATGCATATGGGACTTAGGTAGAGTTCAAGTACCTATGTACCAGAGCAATTCAAAAAGGCTCTGTACCAGCGGCCTCATTATGGAATTAATTAAATGCCTACATCTTTTGGCTATATGGTTCCCGAGGCATCTGCATTAGGGATCCTGAGCAATACAGGTAGAATGCTTAAACCACAATAGTGCCCAACTCCTGCATAAGCTCCATTAGAAGCCAAATAGTTGGTGAGAGGCAGCTAAACTCCACCTAACTCCCTGGAGGTCCCTGTCTAACACCAATACATAAACAGCCCTGGAAGAAACCAAGAGGGAGTCTCCCTGTACTGTCTAGTAGAGTTTGCTTCTAGGGATATTTTACTTCATTATGGAAGTTTCCAAAATGCCTAGTGGGTAGAGTATGCATTTTACAGACATTAGTTAACAATCAAAAATAAGTCTGACAGCAGAGCCTAAAGCCCAGGACTCCCCCCTCTCAGGAAAGACCATATCCACTAAGCTACAGAGAGGCTCCCTGTTAATTCCTCCCCTTCTGATCCAATGAATCTTGTTCTTTTGGGGTTCACTTCAACAGGAGGAATGGAGAGTACCCTCACCTAGCTATCCTGATTTAGCCTGCTGGTTAGGACACATCTCCTGGGATGTATCCAGCTCTCCCACTTCTCTACAAATGTTCTAACCACTAAGCTACTGGCTGAGGTGTAAATGGCACTGCCTCTTCCTTGGCTATCTCAGAGGAGAGATGAGATAGTGTGATTTGCAAAGGAACAGAAATGTCTAATGCTTAACATGAATTGGGCATCTAGACTCCCGAGAGGGGTGGGACTTCTGACACAGCCTGGTGCTTTAGTGAGTCCTACTGGCTACCTTCTGGTACTTCTAGATTTCCTAAATTGCCCTTTGGTGATGCCTACTGCTTCCCATTCTCACTGCAGAGTACCCAGGTGGCTTAACATACATCACTCATGGGCATCTCCAGAATCTTTCCACTGACTGTATGGGACCCTAGGCACTTACAACATATTGAATTGCCCTCTTGGTGTAGGCACTTAAAAAATAGGTAGGCAACATCTAAAGTGAGGCATTTACTGAGACACTTTGAAAGGCTACTAAAGCCTTTTTTTAAATGGGATTTATCCCTTGTCAACAAGAAAAGAAGAGGAGTTGTTATTATCAGAGTATGGCCAAGCTTACTGGCATACACAAAGCTCACCTATCCTCTGTCTGAGAAAAGATTTGGGTTGCAAAAGTGCAAGTGCAGTAGGCTTTCCTCTCATAACAGCTCTCTGTACAAATTTAAACAATATAACATAACGTGTTTTATAAACAATAATGCAAGCTACACAGAAAAGAGCTAATATCATTCCATGTCTGGGAAATTCCTAAGCATTTTGGGCACCCTGCTAGTGGCAACAGAGATAGAGCCATAGAAGGCCAGAAGAAAGTGTGGTGGCACATGGCCTGCAAGCAGATGGTACTAGAAGATGCTCCAAATTGACAGACTGAAGAATGCGTACAGATTTGGGGTTTGGTCTTTCTTTTTATCCTGCCTAGCAAGGAAAGAAACGTTAATGGAAACTCAGTGAGGATTCTCTGCAGTTCCCTTTCCACTCTCCGGCTTATCCTTTGAAATGAAAAGAAATTAACTGTGCCAACATACCGAGTCTGTCACACTACACCTGCACAACCTGAAGAGATTGGCACTTTCTTTCTTAAAAATTATTACAAGTTTTGGCCATTGCAGTGCCCAGTCCCACAGCTGGACTTCACATGAAACTCAGACCTTTACAGGTCCTCTTCTGCTCCCACTGAAGTCAACAGCAATGGGAACATGATTAGACCTCCCAGTGTAAGAGGAAATGCCAGTTGGCTTTGCCGTTAAAGCTAGGACCATATGGCAATACAGGAAGGAATAGCCACATCAGACACTCCCTGGCTTCCTTTTCCATATACCACTTTTCTCCATACTGCCAGATCTTTTTAAGAATAGGGTCTTTTTCTAATATGGGTTGCAATTTTTTGAGGATTTTCCGTACAGGTTCAAGGGAGGGGTGATAGGTCATAACCAGCGGTGTGCGATTTGTGGGTGTTTTTCTTCTGTACTGAAGCAGTTCTTCACGTGGTATCCAGGTGGCTCTTTCAAACGTGCGATCTACCTCTCTGGAGGAGTGTCCTTGCTGGGTGAAAGCCTTTTTAAGATTGGTGAGGCGGCAATCCCGGGTGTTCTCTTCAGTACAGATGTGATGGTATCTGAGGGCTTGGCTGTATATCACTGCTTTTTTGGTGTGTTTCGGGTGATTGCTGGTTCTGTGCAGATATGTATGTTGGTCTGTGCAATCACCCGAAACACACCAAAAAAGCAGCGATATACAGCCAAGCCCTCAGATACCACCGCATCTGTACTGAAGAGAACACCCGGGATTGCCACCTCACCAATCTTAAAAAGGCTTTCACCCAGCAAGGACACTCCTCCAGAGAGGTAGATCACACGTTTGAAAGAGCCACCTGGATACCACGTGAAGAACTGCTGCAGTACAGAAGAAAAACACCCACAAATCGCACACCGCTGGTTATGACCTATCACCCATCCCTTGAACCTGTACAGAAAATCCTCAAAAAATTGCAACCCATATTAGAAAAAGACCCTATTCTTAAAAAGATCTTCCCAGAGCCACCCATCCTAGCCTTCAGACAAGCACCGAACCCCGCCAACCTCATCACCAGAAGCAAACTTCCTCAAGCCCAGAACACACCAAAAGGATCCAGACCGTGCCATGACAAGAAATGCAAAACCTGCCCCCACATCTCCACCACCCCCACTATTACTACACCCCACAACAGAGCCATCAGCATCCCAGGATC